GGGTCCTCGACAGACGGCGCCGGCGCTTGGCTCCTCCTCCCCCATGTATTCAAATGTTCTGCGGCTATCGGCTGCGCCTCCCCCCCTTCCCTCCTGACGCCCTCGACGACTGAGGTGGCTGGCCGACGACGTGTGACGTTCACAAGACGCGCTCCACACTGGCAGGGGCCACCATGGTCCTCGAAAGTCCCCTGGCTGCCCACAGGCACGCAATGGGTGAGGAGAAGACGTCGCGGACGGATGACCCCCCCGGGCCACATCGGCCGTGGGCAGTCCCTTCACGAAGGGGGCTCGTTTCACCGCAGTGACAGGCCCCGGCCTTAATACACGTGTCACCTCCTGGGAGTGAGGTGCACACTCTCACTGCGCTTAGACTTCCACGGTACTTCGTGGGCTCTTAGCCCGTGTGGTCTGGCTGCAATAATCCTGCCCACGGCTCACTTTGGCCTTGTTCACGAGGACATGAGCCCGTGTCGCCCGCTTGGGCGCTCACTTTGGATGGCTGGGGCGGCAGGCCGAAGCCCCCCCCCATGCGCTCCACACTCCCGACGTCCGACGGCCTTGCCCGAGTGACATTTCCCCCCCACAAGACGGCGCCACACGCCGACGACATACCGACTTCACGTGTTGGGTCCTCGACTGGCGGTGTTACCACCTGGCTCTTCCTCTCCGTGTATTCAAATGTTCTGCGGCTATCGGCTGCGCCTCCTCTCCTCCCCTCCTGACGCCCTCGACGACTGCTGAGGTGGGCCGACGACGTGCAGTGTGGCTCTGGCCTAATACCTTTGGGTCACCTCCTGGGGACGAGGTGTACCCCTCTCAGCACTGCGTATTGGTAGAGCGCTCGCCTGGGATGGTGGGGGCTTCCGGCCCAAGGCCCACCCCTTACGTTCCACTCGACGCCTTCTGGAGGCTGGTCCTCTTGCCCAGTGGCTGTTCCCCCCACTTGACAAGCGCCGACTGGGTCCTCGTCCACCACCTGCGGGTGGTTCTGGTAAGGCACACTCCTGCACAAGTGGTTTATCCTTTGGCAGGCCCGGCCTTTCCACGACGTGGCCGTTCCGCTATACGGCGCCGTCGCCCTGGAGTACGGCTTCCTGTGCAAGTGGTGCATCCTTTGGCAGGTCCGTGCCGCTTCCTGGCAGGCGTTTCCCCCCCGGCGTTGCCAGCGACATTTGCTTCTTCCTCCGGTAGAGGTTCACGCTCGCGGACGCCATCGACGTCTTGCCCTTCTGCGATGATCAGGTGGTACACTCCTACCCGCAGTTCCCCCCCTGGCGAGGCTCTGAGCACTGGTGGTTGTGACGCGGCCCCCACGCGACGTTCATCCCTGTCGTTGATGGTGGTGGTTGCCACTCGGGATTCACGACCTGTCCACCATTGATTTGGGCAGTGACGGCTCGCCGGCGAGCACCTGGTGCTCCGTGAGTGAGGCATCTTTCTTTTCAGCCCCTCGTTCTTTCTTCCTGTCGCCCTGCTCAGCGCCCGGTTTCCTGGTGCTGGCGCCACGTCGCCACGTGCGGCTGTCTCTCGACAGGCGCTCTTCTTCTTCTTAGGCTTGTTGCCTCCGTCTGCCCGTTTTCCCCAATTTGTTCTGCATGTTGCATGTGCGGTCGGCTGTCGACAGTGACAGCTGGGTTCGCAAATTATCTGGCTCTGCGCCCCAGTCAGCCCGATTGACACGCCCTCTGGACTCTTCCTTGCGGGCCGCAGAACAACAAAAAAAATAACCCCATCCCCACCAGTTTGTGGCCCGGACGATCATCCCGCTCACTGGATCTGTCTTTCGAGCCGTCCAACCAAAAAAGTAAACCCACCAGCTTCCCTGGCACTTTGCCACAGGTGCGCATGATGCGTGAGCTTCCCTGGGCGTTGCAGTTCAGCCAGTCAGCCCCCTGCCGCCGCTGCCTTCCAGCTGCCGCTTCTGAGGGCTGGCCCGGCTGGCTTGCGCTGCGCCTAGTACCTAATTAGGCTGGCCCGTCGCCCCGGACCCCCTTGAAACTTTCGCCGCCTGCCCTCTGCTGCGCGGCCGCGACCAAAGAAAGTAACCCCACCAGCCCATCCAGAGACGATGCCCAGGCGAGCTGCCCTGATCAGGGAAGTGAAGGAGCATGCCGTGAAATAAGGGATTGGGGAAGCCGTCATACCCCAAGAGGGTGAGGATGGAGGAGGAATCGCAGGAGGACGAGGAGGAGAAAGAGGAGGAGGGGGAGGGGAAGGGAAAGGGGTGGTGGAGGACGGAGGAGGGACGGGGTGAATGATACCGGAGAAAAACCCCAATCATATTCTTTTTAGGGTTATAGGGCTATGGGGTTATAGGGCTATTGGGCTACCAGGCTATGGGGCTATAGGGGTATAGTGCTATAGGGCTATGGGGCTACAGGACTGTAGGGCTATAGGGCTGTAAGGCTATAAGGCTATAGGGCTATAGGATTATAGGGGCATAGGGCTATAGGGATATAGGGCTATTAGGGCTATTAGGCTATAGGGCAATAGGGCTCTAGGGCTATAGGGCCATCAGGCTATAAGGCTATAGGGCTATAGGGCTACCGGGCACCTGGGCACCCAGGCCGGCCATCTAGGGCTATAGGGCTATAGGGCTACGGGGCGATAGGGATATAGGGATATAGGGCTACAGGGCTACAGGGCTATAGGGCTATAGGGCTATAGGGCTATAGGGCTATAGTGTTATAGGGCTATGGGGCTATAAGATTGTAGGAGTGTAGGGGTATCGGGGTATAGGGCTATAAGACTACAAGGCTATGGGGCTATAGGGCTGAGGGCTATAGGGTTTTGGGGCTATTAGGGCTGTTAGGCTATAGGGATATAGGTCTATGAGGCTATAAGGCTATTTGGCTATGGGGCTATAGGGCTACCGGGCACCCGGCACACCTGGGCACCCAGGCACCCGGGCACCCGGCACCCAGGCACCCCCGGGCACCCCCGGGCACCCGGGCACCCAGGCACCAGGCCGGCCACCGAAATCGGCGACGAACCTCATCTAACCATATGAATCCGCTAGGACCCCTGCAGAGGCAAGCTCTGATTGGGGACATAGGCGGTTGAGGAAGAGGAGGGCGAGCAGAAGGGCCAGATGCCTCTTCGATACCTCTTGGAGTCTCTTCGGATGTCTCTTGAGAGTTTCTTGGAGGCCTCTTGGCGGTTCCGAGGTCCTCTTGGGGGCCTCCTGGGGCTTCTTGGGCACCTCTTGGGAGCCTTGGGAGCCATCTTGGAGGAGATCGATTGAAGAAGGGGGGGGGACCAAATTAGCGTCGCGCCCCAGGAGGCCAAACTGGGTCCAAAACCTTCTAAATCAATAATCCGCGCCTTCTCACCGAGGCCTTCTCAGACGCCCCAACCAGTCGCGAACCCATTCGTCCAGGCGGTAAAACCTTCCCCGAAGGGGAGGATGGAGGATTGGAAGAGGAAACGCCCTAAACCACTCACGCCCTAAAGGGCAGGTGGGATTGTCCTTCGGCAGGGCCCTTCTGGGCGACATTCATTCCCCTCTTCTTCCTCCCCCTCCTCCTCCTCCTCCTCCTCCTCCTCGTCCTCCTCCTCCTCCTCCTCCTCCTCCTCCTCCTCCTCCTCCCTCCTCTCCTCCTCCTCTCCCTCCTCCTCCTCCTCCTCCTCCTCCTCCTCCTCCTCCTCCTCCTCCGTTTCCTCATCCTCCTCTTCATCCTCCTCCTCCTCCTCCTCCTCCTCCTCTGCCTCCTCCTCCTCCTCATCCTCCATTCCTTCTCCTCATAGATAGCTCCTCCCTGTCGCACCCCGAGGCCAGCTTTTAGGGCGGGCCGGGCGTTTCGCGTGAGACTTTCTCACCACTTATGATTCTGAAGCGTAAAAAAATGACAACAGTTTCACAGATGGAGGGCGGGTGGTTTTCAGAATGCTTTCGCCTTAGCGCCGCACGCGTTCGTTTTAAAAATTTGCTTCACGGATTGAGGGCGGCCCTTTTTCAAAATGTGGTTCTTGCGTTAGTGCCGCGCACATTCGTTTTCAATATTTACAAGAGCTTCACGGATTGAGGGCGGGTCCTTTTTCAAAATGCGGTTCTTGCGTAAGCGCCGCGCACATTCTTTTTCAAAAATTGCAAAGAGTTTCACGGCCTGAGGGCGGGTGGCCTTCAAAATGTGGCTCTCGCCTTGGCGCCGCATGCATTCATTTTCAAACATTTGCAAGAGCTTCACGGATTGAGGACGGTTCCTTTTCAAAATGTGGTTCTCGCCTTAGCGCCGCGCACATTCGTTTTAGAAAATTGCAAGAGCTTTACGGATTCAGGGCGGGTCCTTTTCAAATTGTCGCTCTCGCGTTAGCGCTGCGCGCATTCGTTTGCAAAATTTGCGAGTGCTTCACGGATTGAGGGCGGGTTGTTTTCAACATGTGGCTCTCGCGTTAGCGCCGCGCACATTCGTTTATCAAAAATTCCACGAGATTCACGGATTGACGGCGGGTGGTTTTCAAAATGGGGCTCTCGCCTTTTAGCGCCGCGTACATTCGTTTTCAAACTTTGCCAGAGCTTCACGGATTGAGGGCGGCTGCTCCTTTTCAAAATGTGGATCTCGCGTTAGCGCCGCGCACATTCCTTTTCAAAATTTGCCAGAGCTTCACGGATTCCCATGATCAACGTGCCAGAAATGGTGTTTTGGAAGGATTCAGGATTATGTGGGTGCACCAGTGAAGTCCCAAAAATGGCGATCTGGCACGGTTCCGGATCGTCAAGACGCAGCAGTCAGGTTGATACGTGGCGTTGAAATCCAGAGAACCATGCTCTGGCATGCATCAGGATCTTCAAACGGTTGTCTTCAAACGAGGCAGTTCCTTCGATGGAAACGAACTGTTGTGGGGGCCTATGGAGAGGGAGCTTGGAGGGAGGGTAAATTCCAATTTCGTTGATAATTCTTGGTTTAACACTAGTCCTCCTCCTCCTCCTCCTCCTCCTCCTCCTCCTCCTCCGCCTCCTCTTCCTCCTCTTCCGCCCCTCCTCTGGCCGCCCCCAGGCGCCGCGGGCTCCCACCGCCCCGAGGGCGCAGCAGGCCGCGGCGCCATCGGGCACGCCGTCGTCCCTGCGGGACCTGCTCCTGTGAGCGACGGCAGCAGGAGCGGTGCCTTGCCCTCCTCCTCTCGGGATCCAGCAATCGGGGGCGGAAAAGAGGGGGGTGCTGACTAGGGGGGGGGGGATATCATGGCGGGGGGCATGATGTTTCCCCAGATTTCATGGCGCCTCTTCTCATTTCATTGCGTCCCTGGCCCCCCCGCTGGGCCGCGCACATGACGCCGGTCATGATTTGCACCCCCCCCCTCTTGGACACCCCCCTCTTGGCTGCTCCCGAAACAATGGGTGGGTGTGAGTTCGATTGGCTTTTGCACCGAACCGCCCAAAACAGATGCCCCCCAGCCGCCCGCAGCTCCCGATGGTTGCCGATGGGTGGGGCACGCGGGGGGCGGGTGTTTGCAGCAGTTCGGTGCACGAGCGAATCGAAGTCATGCCCACCCTCAGGGTCACCCCCCCTCTGGTGGATCCTGAACCTCCCATCCGCATTCTTGAAGAGGCGGGCGGATGGGTAGGTACTGGCAGTCGAGGATGCGAAGGGCGCTGATCGCCGCGGGCGTGCATATACGCCGATCCTTTTTTTGAGGCCAGGACAGTTTAATCGTCCGGGCCGATTTTGCCAGGAAGTCGACCCCCTCACATATACGTCAAGTTGAAAACAAGCAGCAGCACATATTAAATCACTACTGAGAACTATGACTGGCAATAGTTGGTTTCTTGGATCGTCGTTTCCTGGCAAAATAAACTCTTAGCGCTACATGTCCACCTCTTTGGCGTCACGTTGGACTTCGATCGGCTGAATTATACTAGCCGTTCCTTCGCAACGGCGTTTCGATGAGCCGCCATCATTTAAAGTTTGGTCACTTGGCCTAATACACTCTTTCCCCACCCCCCTCCTCAGCCTCACCCTCCGTTCTCCTTTTCCTCCTCCAGCGGATCCTGGAAAGGGCATGGGCATAGGATTTTCTTTTAGTAAGTAAGTTTGTTCCCGGTGCCATGCTTGAAAAGAGGGCAGGCGAATTTCCGCACGGAATAAATTGGTAAAGTCCAACTTTGAGTGGAAGGAGTACGTTTCGCGCGAGCACGTTCGAGGAAAGTGCGCCCCCCATATCGGATCCTCGTGGCCTAGCGGGGTCCACCGACCCCCGTTTTCCCTAGTAAGAAAATGGGTGCGGAGCGTTTTGCGCAGAATCCTCACTGAATAACGAAGTCCGGAGGCTTTTCAGAAAATGGCAGAATGTTGGACTGTTTGCGTGCCCGCTCAAGGATGGCTCGCGCTGCGCGCAGGTTTCTCAAAGATGTCTCGAGCCCCGCGCTTGTTACGCATCACTTGAGGGGCCTGGGCGCCCAAGGATGACTAAGTGATTCTGGGAGTGCGGTCGCACAGTTATTTACGAGGGATCGTGGCCCTGGGAGCGGGGACGCCGCATAAATGACGAGGGATCCTGGCCGTGGCAGTGCGGACGCATAGTGGTTTGCAATGGATCGTGGCCTCGAGGGGGCGGACGCAGCACAATTTACAAGGGATCGTGGCCCTGGGAGCGCGGACGCAGTACAATTTACAATGGGTTGTGGCCCTGGGAGCGTGACTCCTGCGTAAGTTACAAAGGAACGCGGCCCTGGGAGCGCCAATCCAATGTAATGTGTAAGGGATCTTGGCCCTGGAAGCGCAAACCCAGCGTGATTTACAAGGGATCGTGGCCCCAGGACCGCGAACACAGTGCAATTTACAATGGATCCTGGCCTTGGGAGCCTGGACACCGCGTAGCGTACAAGGGACCCTGGCCATGGAAGCGCGGGCGCAGCGTAATTTGCCAGGGATTGTGGCCCTGGGAGGCGCAAGCACCGTTACTTCCTATGGCTCATGGCCCTGGGAGCGCGGGCGCCGTGCACGTTGCAAGGATCGTGCCCTGGGAGCGCGGACGCAGCGCAATTGACGATGGGTCTTGACCTTGGGTACGTGACCCCAGCGTAATGTACAAAGGAACGCTGCTTTTGGAGTGCGAACCCAGCGCAACTTACACGGGATCGCGGCCTTGGGAGTGCGGACGCAGCGTAATCTACGAGGATTCGCGCCGTCGGGTCCAGCGCCGGATTTTCAGGATATTGCGGAAGGGGGTGGGGGGGGACAGCGCCACCCGAATACCTATCCCAACGCAGAAAAGTATTATTCTCTGGACGCAGCGTAATTCACAATGGATCGTGGCCCTCGGGAACATTCCTTGGCACGTTCTTTGGCGCTTCCCTTGGGCACGTCGCGCTGCGCGTCCCTATAGAGGCCTGCAACGGCATAACGCGTATACCTATACGGATATGTTACGGCAAAACGCCTCCCTTCTCATTACCCGGCTTCCTCTTCGTTATGCTCCTCCTCATCCTCATCCTCTTCCTTCTCCGCGTTCCTCCCTCATCCTTGCTTAGTATACTTCCCCCCATCGTCCTCGTAGTCGTGCTTCTGCTTTCTGCCTTGCTGGGGAAATGGAACCCGGGACATGTGCCCTGGGTGCTTCTTACCAGGAAGCAGTATACACATGAGATGACCTGCCTTGGCGGGAGTTGGATGCACGTGTGGCCACATGTCTTTCCAGGATTCGGCCCCCGTGAGGCTAAGTACGCCAGCCATCCGCACGTGTATCCAGCAACTGGCCCCGCTCCGCGTGTGAATCCAACCGCGTGTGTTTCCAGTCTCCTGGATTGCTTAAGGCACCCAGCTTGAGATTCTCGATCGTAGCCCAGTTACTCAGGAAAAAAGAAATGCACTGCGCTGCTGGCAAGGTTGAGTCGGAAGTGGCCCACGTGTGTCTGATGGGCTTACGCCATGCCGCATGTCCTCAGGGCGCCGCAGAGACGTGGTGCGCACGTTGCTGTGCAGCGAAGCAGTTTGCAACGCAATAAGGAGGAATAGGACGACAAGAGGAGGAGCATGAGGAAGAGGAAATGGGAGGAGGAGGAGGAGGAGGAGGAGGAGGAGGAGGAGGAGGAGGAGGAGGAGGAGGAGGAAGGACGACGAGGCCACTTCCCTCCTCGGGCCAGGGTGACCCCTCACCAAAAATGGAATAGATTGTTTCGGTCTGGCCCTGCCTGCCTCGACCCCCCCTTCTTTCGATTCCCTCCTTCATTCTCCTGTCCTTGCGAGAAGCAACTTACAGCGCACTGGGGAGGACGAGAATGGCGAGAGGAGGATGAGGAGGGAGAGGATGAGGAGGAGGAGGAGGAGGAGGAAGCGGAGGAGGAGGGAAGGAAGAGGGCAGAGCAATACCAGATTGCCTTCCCAGCTATTCTCCACGCTGCATGTGGTGACCCGTTGTCCTTCATCGCAGATCCTTGCAGTTAGAGGAGCACGAAGCATTGATATTGATAGTTTTCAAGATTTCCAGGGTTTCCTGTTCTTCCGCGCAGGCTCAAGGGACGAATGTCGAGCGCATTCCGTCGCGCAGGTTCTCTGCGTGATGTGCGCGGTGTATTTTTCGCGCATCGGGGCGCCTACGGAGATTCCAAGCTGCATGCTGTGTTGCTCTTGGGGAGTCCGCGAGTCGCAGCTGCCGTGGCGCTGTTTTCGAAGTAACCCCTTCGAGTGCTGTTCGCGGGCGCAACGCGCGGCGCGCGCTGCGCCCAATCGCGCGCGGCGCGGTGCGTGAATCAGCCAGCCGCGCCCGTCGGACCGCCTGGAAATTACTTCTGGGTGGTAGAATGTTTCAGAAAACGCTTCCGTGTTTTTGCCGCAAGTGGTTACGTAATTTTTCAAAAAGGAGCCCGGGAATTGCCAAATAAAGCAATTTTGAGGGTGGAATGCGCCTGCCGCGCGGCACATCTGAAGAATTCTGAAAACAAGAATGTTTCAAAATGGATTCCGGATTTTTTCCAAAGTAGGCCGGACATGTTCAAAAACGTTTCCGGATTTTTGTTCAAAATTACCCCTGGAAAATTGTCCAGAGTCGCGCGTGATTTGCCGGTCTTTGAAAATCCGCCGAGGCGCGCGGTGCGCGGCGGCGGGCGATGGGACGGTGCGCCACCGTCCCCCCCGCGTTCGGCAACGAGAAGGGGGATCAGCAAGTGCCAAGTAGCCCCCTACGGGCGACCACTCGATTGCGAATGGGTGACCGACCAGCGGCGCCAGCCAGAGTAGGCAGTTCTCGACGCAAAGTGCACCCCGCGCGAAGGTTGTTAGAAATCCCGGAACCTATCATGAGCAAGGTGTGCCAATATATTTTTCTCGTCCTATGCATATCCATAGCACGGCGCACGCTCTGCCACAGCAGTTCCCGATGGGTATATGGGGCGTTCCAAGAACGGCCTTGCCTTCGAGGATGGAAGAAGCTGTCATTTCTTCCGCGGCGGATGGCGGCGGCAGGTCGGCGGAAGTGAACCGAAGCCGCCTCCGCCAGCGGAGGCCGGCGGAAGGGCGGCGGAAGGCGGTGGAAGTAAAATACGCATTCCCAAAAAATGGAAACATGTTTGGTATCAGGGTTTCCGAGATCCGCCATATGTTATTCGGGCCTTCTTCGCTATCTGTAAGCATTCCCAAACGGTGTTGGCTCGAATCGTGACGGTATCAATTGGGTGAGGCCAGGGCCAGTAGCGACCGCGACCGCGAAAAATTCAAGATCAACGAAAAATACATGGACGATTTGCCACATGCCAAGCGCAGAACGCCGAGGAGCGAACTAAAAATTCCAGGCCCAAGGAATGCGACGATTCGAAGGCGGAAGAGGTGGGCGACTTGCCGATTGCCAGTGCGTTGGCGCAGTTCGCCGATGATCTCTTTTCCAGCTTGGACTGGACAACAGATTGTCATACCGCCGATTCGCCCCAGGACGGGAATAAGAAGGTAAGTGTGTGGATCTGGCGGACAACGGAAACAAGATAGGGTTGGAGCAGCCCGCTTTCACCATCGTTAGTGGCGTGTGTTTCCCAGCTTTCTGAATGTTTTGGCGCTTCGGCAACGTGCCGACATTGTGCCCGCAGTGCTACATCCTCGCAAGGTCTGCGGGGGGAGATGCCCTGCCGAATGCAAGTGGATTGGAGCAGTAAGTCGACGAGTCCTCCATGATCGTGATGAGTGCCAATGCCGGCACGGACGTTGAGCGGGTAGGCGACCTGCCGAATTCCAGTGGCTTGGAGGTCCCCAGAGGCTTCCAGAGGAGACCCGACCAGGGCCAAAAACGTCCGAATGCCTTCCCCCTGGACACTTCGAGGGCAAATTTGCGCCCCACCCCCCTCAAGGGTCGAGAGCAGAACTTGTGCCCCGTCTCTCACTCCCTCCTGTCTCTCTCGTCCCGTTCCTTCCCGTCCCTGCCTCCCTGCCTTGTCCTGCCCTTGGCAGCAGAGCCGTTTGGGGTGCCAGCCGGCTCGGTGTTTGAAAGGCAGCTCTCCGTGGCGGCGGCGTCTCGCGCCAGAGTTTCATTGGCGCGGCGCTGCACCGGTGCAACCCACTCGCAGGTGGCGGCTGTGCGGAGGAAGAGAGGGGATGGAAACACGAAGGGGGCGGAGAGGAGGAGGGCGAAAGTGGAAGAGGGGCAAGGCGGAGGAGGAGGGGGAGGAGGGGGAGGAGGAGGAGGAGGAGGAGGAGGAGGAGGAGGAGGAGGAGAGGAGGAGGAGGAGGGAGGAGGAGGAGGAGGAGAAGGGAGGAGGGGAGGAGGGGGAGGCGAAGGGGGAGGGGGCGGGGGAGGGGAAAGGATGAGGAAGAGAGGCGGCGGACGAGATGAGAAGGGAATGGAACGGGCAGGAGGACGGGCAGGAGGGAAGGAGGGGGAGGAGGTGAGGATAAGAAGGAGGAGAAGGAAGAGGAGAAGAAGATGAAGAAGAAGGATGAGATGGAGGTGGTGGGCGAGAAGGAAAGAGCACAGAGAGGGGAACGAGGGAGAGGAAGGGGGCGAGGAGAACGGGAGGAACAGCAGGGGAGGATGAGCAGGAGAAGAAGGAGGATGATGATGATGATGATGATGATGATGATGATGATGATGATGATGATGATGATGATGATGATGATGATGATGATGATGATGATGATGATGATGATGATGATGATGATGATGATGATGATGATGATGATGATGATGATGATGATGATGATGATGATGATGATGATGATGATGATGATGATGATGATGATGATGATGATGATGATGATGATGATGATGATGATGATGATGATGATGATGATGATGATGATGATGATGATGATGATGTGGTGGTGGTGGTGGTGGTGGTGGTGGTGGTGGTGGTGGTGGTGGTGGTGGTGGTGGTGGTGGTGGTGGTGGTGGTGGTGGTGGTGATGATGATGATGATGATGATGATGATGATGATGATGGTGATGATGACGATGACGATGACGATGACGATGGCGATGATGATGATGATGATGATGATGATGATGATGATGCTGATCGTGATGATGATGATGATGATGATGATGATGATGATGATGATGATAAGGAGGAGGAGGAGGAGGAGGAGGAGGAAGAGGAGGAAGCACAATGGGGACGGAGGAGGTGAAGGAGGAGGCGAAGGAGGAGGACGACGAGGAGGACGACAATGACGAGCATCAAGACGAAGAGGAGGACAAATATGGAGCAGGAAGAGAAGGCAAGAGTGTGGGGATTCCAACCACTCCCACGCCCGACGAAACTGACGACTTGACCAATGATTCTTCCCCCTGGCTTCATCTTTCCTCCTCCTACGTATTTCCTTCCATGCTTCGTCCCTGTTTCATCCGCTCTTCTCCGTCCTCACTCCTCCGTCCCCATCTCTCCTTCTCCTCTCCGCTCCTCCCCCATTCTCTTATGGTGACGATCATGCGACTTGCTCCGCCTGCGTTCCAGATTGCCCAGAAGCGGCATGCGGATGCATTCGGAGCTAAATTTTTTCAGCCTAGCGATATCAAGGACCGATCACCAAAGACAGCGAGTGGCAAGGGCCGAAAGAGGGAAGCAAAGGAGGAGGAAGAGGAAGAAGAGGAGCGCCAGCACGGAAGGGGGATGAGGACAGAGGCCAGAGGAGGAGGAGGAAGAGGAGAAGGGATGAGAAAGGGAAGGGGGAGAGGGAGGGCGGTGAAAGGTAGGAGGACAAGGAGGAGCAGGAGGGGGAGGAAGAAAAGCAAAGGTAACAAGTAGAAAGAGGAGTTGGGGACGAGAAGCAAGATCGACAACAGCAAGAGCAGCAGAAGTAGGAGGAAGGCGAACAGGACGAAGGGGAGGGCGTCGAGAGGACCGGCAAGGGGGTGCTGATACGCTAGACTCGTTCAAATTGTACGTCGTTCTTGAGGAAGTCGCCCTGGCTTGGTACCAGACAGTTTGGGCTTTGCGCTTGACTGCATAGTGTTCACCCATGCGATCTGGGTGGACAACACTTTCATCTTTGATGGCAGCGCTGCCAGTGGCAGATCCGCACAAGTTCAGCGTGGCGGGCAGCAGCATGTGCATGCGCTCATGGAGCGCATGCATGTTCTTGGCGTGGCGCCCGATTCCCGTGGGAGCAGTGCTGGAAGCGTCGTTGGCAAGCCAGATGGCTGGCTTCGACAACTTCGATGGGCGCTTGCGTGAGCGATGGCATATTGTACCGCTGCTGTTGGTGCGCCTCTGAGATCTGATGCTGGCGTCGATACTGCTGACGCCCCGCCAAACGTATGCCAGACTGGCGCCGTTCTCACGAAGAGAGCCAGCATGTCGTCCTCCTCGTGGTCTACCAGCGAGTGTCGAGGTCGGTGAATGGTTGGATCGAGCTGCACGGACTGCACCTACGGGCCAGCGTTCAGTTGGATCGGCAGCCGTCGGTTGTCACCGCACCGTCTCGGTGGCGTCCCCGGCTACACGGTGCATCTGTGCAGTGGGGCCCAGGGGAGGTACAAAGCAGCGCAATATTTGGTGAATGTGGCATTACAAGGCTTCGGCAGAGCAGCGTAATATCTGGTGAATGTGGCATTACAAGGTTTCGGCAAAGCAGCGTCATATCCGGTGAATGTGGCATGACAAGGTTTCGGCAAAGCAGCGTCATGTCCGGTGAATCTGGCATTGCAAGGTTTGGGCACCATCTGACGGCAAGAGGTGCTCGGTTGCCGATGGTAAATCCCGAACGGAGGATGAAGCTCGTTCAATCGGCAGGCAGAGCGCAGGCACGGAGGGCAGGCACCGCTACGTTGACAAGGTTGGCACCCGGGGGGCAGGCCAAGCTCGGTCTTCAATGCTGATGTGATTTTCACGAGAAGGGCGGACCTTACTCAATTCTCAATCTCGCGACCGACCATTCGAGCAGGGAACGGGTTGCGCTGTGTCTGCAAAGTTTGGACCGACGCGCAAATTCTTAAGAATTATTAGTAGATCGTCCAGTGTCAAGTCCAAGCGGAGGACGGACTGCGTGTTTGTGTCATCTCGTTCGAAGTACCACGTCCTGGATTGGCCCGTTTCCATTGGAACACGTTTCGGCTAGCGACGAGCGGCGGAAAGGAAGGAGGATGACGAGGAGATGGGGACAAGTTGCACGCGTGGCCGAGTCTTTGCGTTGAGCCAGCCGATTGGAACAGTGCAGACATTTCGACGCTGGGTAACGGGCATACCATGTGTCTTACGATGTGATAGAGTCCACGCCATCACAGCGGGAGTCGGCTTTGAAGGTAATTCGCGTATAGTCTTCCCCACGAACGCACGGAAGTCTTACCACCTATACAGTATAACCAGAAATAACAAACCAGATTCAACAGACGTTGTAATGTATAGCAACTTTCGCCAATCCCGCCACCGCATCTGGGTTGTAGGTCGGTAGCCTCTTGGATGCCTGTGGGAATCCATGCGGTGGCCGCTTGGAAGCCTCGTGGAGGCGGTTTTGGAGTGTTTTGGGGCCTCTGGCTGGAATCTTGGAGGCCTGATGGGGCCTGATTTGGGTCTCTCGGGAGCCTCCTGGAGCTTTGAGGGGCATCTTGGAGGCCTGCTGGCGCTCTCCAGGGTCATGTTTGGGCGGTGCGGGCGACATTTCAGTTCGGATTCCAAACCTTAGGGACCTCTTGGAGCCCTCCTGGCCTCTTGGGCCGTCTGGGGGCTCTTGAGCCGTCTTGGGGCGATCTTGGGGGCCGCTTGGGCCATCTGGGAGAGTCGGCAGCGTGAAAAAAACAAGAACACTAAAATCTCTCACAACCCTCAGGATGTCAAGGGTTTTGACTTTGGGGGCCTTCTTGGTGCGTCTTGCTGGCTTTAAGGGCTGTCTGGAGGCCACCTTGATTGTTTTGGAGCGATATTCTTGCGACTCGGGGCTCTTTGGGGCCGTCTTCGGCAGCTCTTAGGGGCCTCTTGGCTCGTCTCGGGTCCCTCTGGTGCCCGAAACAGTCACGCGGGAATACGTGGCAGCCCCCAAGAGCGCCCAAGAGCCCTAAGGAGCGTCCAAGAGCGTTCGGGAGCGCCTACAACTCCGGACGTGCGGCCCGTAAACATGTTACAGCATTCAATAGACAATCCCATGAGACCTAAGGGCGTTCCACTTGCTGGAACATAATCGGCGCACGCCTTGACATATTTCAGCCGAGTAGTGCCAGACAGCATCCGTGCATCTTGCAGGAACGCCGAGTAAGTCTTTGTCGAAATACATTGAGGCCGTTGTTTCCGCCCATATTATTTGAATATCTAGCTGCCTGGGGGAAGTCCTGCCACCGTGCCAGCCTACCATTCTGGGTGGCGATTGGTCGAGGGGGACGGGAAGCCGTCATGTGTGACACCTCGTGTCCCCAGGCTTGGGGTGCCGCTGGGCTTCTTCGATGGGTAAAAAAGTGTACCAGGCTTGGGGGGCCGTGATAAGGGTGATGAAGGAAAGGAGCGCGAGGAGGAAGAGCGGGAGGAGGAGGAGGAGGAGGCGGATGAGGAGCAGCAGCAGGAGAAGGAGAAGGAAGAGGAAGTCCGTCACATGCCACACCTGTCACTTCTTCCGAAGCTCATGGAGTTCCTGTGGACCGTCTTGGGGCTGTCTTGGGATCTCGTAGGGCAGTCTAAGAGGGGGTCCCTTCAGGGCCCTCTTGGGCCGTACTGGGGCACTATTAGGCCATCTTGGGGCCCTCTTGGAGGAGGGTGTGTGGGTACCGTTTCGGCGCCGTGTTTGGCCGCCGAAGGGCTTGTCGAAGTCGTATCGGGTCCCTTTGGGAGGCCCCCTTGGGTCATCTTGGGGCAGTCTTACGCCATCGTGGGATCCTCTTCTGCCATCTAGGGGCACTCTTGGGCTTTCTTGGGCAGCCTAGCTGGCGGAAGCCCGAGAAGGCGAGAACACGAAAATCCGCCAAAAGTATACTTTTGTGTTCGCGGCTCCAAGGCAAGGGACAGGGAGCAAGCACAACGTCCGGGGCGCATGACGATGTAAATTGGCCTCAGAGGCGAATGCACGTGCCAGGGACAAAATGACCCTCATTAAGACGCATACTGCGTCGGCAGGAAACCGGCCCAGACATCCCGGCAGGTGGGGACGCAGGCGCGGCGACCGGCGGCGGAACGGGGGGGAGAAGTCGCCCTTTCGGCGCCAAACTCCGGCCGAACCACATTCGGTGAGGCCAGGAAGCGGGGGGGGGAAGAACGGAAGGTGGGAGGGGGAGAGGGCGAAAGCGAGCGACTACCACAGGTTCACTGCAGCACCGTCAACGATGGTGCGGCGAACGAGGCCTGACTCATCAAGGCTCACTGAATCTGAGGTGTAGCTGATCCGCGTCGAAGCGCCATGCAGTAGAGGAAGACCACTGGTGTGCGTTCACGAGGCTGAGCCACCTCCAGCCAAAGCCAGTGCGTGCACATCGTATCCGACTCTCGCAGTTCGGGGGCAAAACGATGCAAAGTACTGACGGGGGCTGGTTGCAGACTGCTCTGCCGGGGGAACGACCACGAACTGCAGAAGGCTGAACCACTCAATGCAGGGCCGCTCCCTGACGAAGCCAAACAACGGGTGTCACCGAATGTATGGCTGACGGCCGCGCCCGATCCACACCTCCAGCCGGTAGCTGGTGTGTGCACATGGTCTCCTGACTCACGCAGGTCGGGGGCACAACGATGCAAAGTACTGACGAGGGCTGGTGGCCGGGGCAGCTCTGAAGAGGCGACCACGCACTGCAGAAGGCTGAACCACTCATTGCAGGGCCGCACACTTGCAAAGGCGTGGCTGATCCGCGTCAGAGCGCCATCCAGTAGAGAAGACCACTGGTGTGCGCTCACGAGGCTGAGCCACCTCCAGCCGGTAGCCAGCGCATGCACATCGTATCCGACTCACGCAGTTCGGGGGCACAACGATGCAAAGTATTGACGAGGCTAGTAGCCGGGGCTGCTCTATGGCTGCGCCGAGGAGTGCGACACGAACTTGGACCGCAGAAGGCTGGACCACTCGATGCGGGGTCGCACACTTGACGAAGCCAATCACCATGTGTATGGAGGACAGCCACAGCCAATCACCACCTCCACGCTGCCCACGCAGCAGCCGGATGCCTCCGCCGCCAGGGCATACAGGTGGCTGTCTGTTGTCGAGCTGCAGAGCTGCACTGTTCGCTGGCGGCGTGCTGACATACCACTGCGTCCTTGCAGTAGAACCGTGGTTGGGTCGGCGATGAGGGACCGATACTTCCTGGGCAGGTCCCAGGGCGGGCGCTCTTCAAAGTCCGATGCAATCTTCCGAGTTGATCGGGGGGGGGGGGCGCAGCCGAAAGCCGCAGAGGCACTGTGACGAGGGCCCGAAACTTCCTGGGCAGGTCTCAGGGCGGGCGCACTTCAGCGACCGATGCAATCAACCCAGCAGATCGAGGGGGGCGCAGCCGAAAGCCGCAGAGACATTGCGAACGACGGAAGAGGAGGAGGAGGAGGAGGAGGAGGAGGAGGAGGAGAAGGAGGAGGAGGGGGCGCCGCCAAGGCCCGGGACGCGTCGACTGAACCATTCGAAGCGGGACCGCTCGACGGAGCCGATCCACATGTGAATGGAGGACAGCCA